AACTGGCTATTCGAAATTATCTGTCCTGACCTAGAGCTACATCCTATACATCTAAGATGCAGAAACGTATGTCAGAAGCAGTTTGAGAATGAACAATCAATACTAGTTTGTCTGATTCTATTTGTGTGTGTTGTGCACGTGAAAACAGAATGACTTGCCCCAGGGAATACTTTTTCATAGCTTCTAAATCAAGCAAGGCTCTACAGCCAACACAGGCAGCAGCCCTTTAAAGATGTTAGACATGGGAAATGATCACATTAAGAGAACTGTAATTGTGGGCAGCAGACACGAAACCTTAGGTCACTGCTTATACTTTTTCCAGTAAGAATTTTTCTTAGCAACGATAAAAATCAGATTACTTTAGGAAAAATAGCTGTATGCCACAGCTGGCAAAGATTTAGCACTGGAAAGAATAGGGAGGGAGTTTTGTCTCTAGGCCACATGAGTTTTCCCCTGCTGCTGTGGCAAACCAAGGACGGATAATTCCCACTGCTGCTGTTGTTGTTATACAAATCAAGCATCAACTTTCTATAAACTGACAAGAACAACAAACTCTTTGTTCCTTGGTTGTTCCTGGACACTTCTGTTGATATCCAAGCAAACATATTTATGCAATCTTTCTCCTTCAAATGAGGAAACCCAGCTGTATTAGACTGGTACTGTCCAATCTGTAATCCAAGTTCAACAACTATGTAAATTTAATAAATAAATAAACTGGTGTGATAATATGATGTGAGATTAGATATAGCCAGTCCATCAGTTTAATAGGGATACCAAATCCTGCTATTTGTTGTAAATGTTGCTTTTCTCCTTCAAGTAAATTCCATGTAATCATTTGTATTGTTCTTGTTAATCTAATATCCTGATATTTAACCATATTGCTGTATATGTTCCATTATTGACTCTAAAGGATCCATTGAGTGGGGAACTGTAAGTACAACATCATCAACATATAATTTTAATTTGTGTTCCTGCTTTGCCAATTTCATTCCTGAAATTTTATTTTTATGATGTATCTTATATCCCAATGGTTATATTGCCAATAAAAATAAAAAGGGAGAGACAGGACTACTTTGTCTTGTGCCTTTCATTATAATATACTTTTGTGATAAAAATTCATTTACAATTATTTTTGGCCTCTTGTTATAGACACTTTGTATCCATTTGAAAAAATTCAAGCTGCAATTCATTTTCTCCAAAGCATGAATAGAAAAACCCATTCCAAATTATCAAAAGCTTTCTCTACATCAAGAACATGTATAGCCTCTTTCTTATTTTTCTGATTAATATTATCAATAACGTTGAAGACCAATCTGATATTGTTTCTTATACATCTCTTTGAAACAAATCTAGTGTATACAGCATGAATTAGATCAGTGAGAAGGCCGCAACATCTTTGCAAGTATAACTGTGAATCATTCCCCTTTTTGTATATTAAAGAGACAAAATACTTGATATTGTTCTGTTTCATTCATTACCTGGGTTAATAGTTTCATCAGAATTTCTTTAAAAATCTTACAATATATTGCAGAAAAACTATCTGGTCCTGGGGATTTATTTAATTTCAATTTCTGTATTGCTTCTTTTGTTTCATCTTCTATGATTGACTTATTGAGAGCTTCCTTTCGTTGGTTTGTAGATTTCATAATCTGTGTTGTAGCTAAATACCTTTTAATCTTCTCTAGACTTGGTGTCTCTTTTTCATATAGTTGAGAATAACATTTAACAAATTGTTTCATCAACTGTGGTGATACCTATTTCCATCCCAAATTATTTCTTTCTTTTCTCAGTTGTTAGGCTAAAAATTTGTCAAGTTTTTTTTACCTTTCTCAAAATATTTCTGTCTCATTTACTTCCATTAAATATAGTTGATTTAGCATCAGACTGCTCATTTATTTCATTTTATGACTCATTTTAATTGCTTCAATTCATTCAACAATACATCCTTTTGTTTTAATATCACTTTCTAAATGATGCCAAAGAAATGAATAATCCCCTTATAAACACTTTACTGGAATCCCATACTCTGAATCAAAAATATCAGAAGTTGGAAGAAGCTCTTTTAACTCAGATTGGCACTTGAGTTTAACATCTTTTTGCAGGAATAACAGACCATTCCATTATAGCAAATTACCTTTGTCTTTTTAAATACATGTCTCTCGAAGACAAATAATATTGGCATTTTGAGCCAGAAGTTCTTCTGTGCCATTGTACAATTCCTGGGTTATGAACTGCATAAGTAAGTGCTGGAACTTCTATGTCTATAAGTTTAGTCAACAACAAACTACCTTGGGTAAGGTTTATGAATGGACATAAAGGAAATGTATGTCTTCAAGCAACTGAGAGAGAAAGTAATGACATATAGTGTAGAACATTTTGGGGAAGTTTACCAGAATTTTTTTTTGATATAAACCAGATTTACCAAGATTTCAGTGTGTATATGTATATGTATGTGTGTGTGTATAGAATAATTCCTGGATCGGGATGCCCTTTGAACAGTCACTCATGCCCTTGTTATCTCCCAGATAGACTACTGCAATGCGCTCTACATGGGGCTACCCTTGAAGAAGATCCAGAAGCTACAGATAGTCCAGAATGCAGCCGCGCGGGCTATTTTTGGAGCCCCGAGAAGGGCCCATGTAACACCATTGCTCCGCGAGC